TATCACTATCACCATGCCAGTGTTCGCAGGAATCCATCACGGCGCTCATAGAGCAGCTAGGAAACCAGGCATGCAAGCCACCTATTGAATAAGCGGTAAGGGTGGTAACGAACGAGGGCAGTGGTGCGATGCAACAAATCTGTTGTAACATATAGACGGTTTACTGCTCCGACCTGCACGTGACAATACGTGATCAAGTATCAAGTGACCAGCATCCGAATCATCGTTCAAGTTGTCAGCGTGCGTGTAGTGTAATAATATGAGGATGCAAACAGTGTATAACACTTATTTGAACTGTACAACAGCTTAGAAGTCATGAGAGATACTTATACATATATCACAATTTAAATTTAATTCTTCCATCACAATATAATCTGCTCATAAGATAGTACAAAGATCATAATCTGAAATGGGGATGACAGCGCCTATTGTAAGGTCATTTAAAGCGTTACGAGTGGCTGTCGCCCTGATGATCAATTGCAATTCATATAATGAAATATTACTTTTTCCCGGATTTAGCGATGTCATGATCATACAAGAAGATATTTTATTACTTTGGCTCAAAACTATGAAACAGTTGGAAACCAACTTGCTACCTACAACATCATTAATCTCTAAACTTTCCACTCTATCTGGTTGGTATGTATGAGAGGATCCTCCTTCAGGCTCATGACCAAGTCGGTGACATACTCGACGTCCTCTTGTCTGACCACTCTCAACTGTCCAGCGCCATCTCTACCTGCCCAAAGATGAATCAGAAACCGTCCTCAGTACATAGCACCAGCATGAATGTGAAGGTCGCATCCTTGTAGGATAATCTTTATGTCTCCGGCAGATAAATAATCGCGCAGGAACTGGGTGGCCCTATAGCCCCAAGAAGGGCGGGCGTCGTTTGGAGGTAACTTGATTATAAGTTCAAAAGACGTCCATGACTGGAACTTGCTTTGAGACCACCAGCTCTGCGCCATTTTGAGACCATACGACAAATTGCTCAGAGGTGTGATGAGTACAAATTCTTGCAGTACTTGGAGATCCCTCATGGATATGTATTCTGTCGGGGAATCCCAGTCAATAGGCGAGAATGTCTGACTGGCTGCTAGAAGGTTAGTCAGTACAATATACATGCGCACATGCAAAACTGAGCTCGTACGTAGTCAGAGCCTCAAATACAGGAGAGTATTAGCGACTTGGCGCAAGATAGGACGTCCCAAAGACAGAACTTCCTCCGTCAAACCCAGATCCAGCTGTGTCAAGTGCGTCGTAGGAAATGAACGGGGGTAGATTTCATTGTCCTCCAGATACGGTGCTAGCTCCATGCGACCGTGAGGGAGACGGAAAAGTTGCCTGACCAGGTGCTGAAAATTTTCTAATGGTGGTCTACCATTAGGACGGGGGCCAGTGTTCGACAACTTTTGGAAATTTGGAGCCAGAAGTACCATCCGAAAGAGCTTGGGTGAGGTAGGGCCGGGACCCCATGCCAGGGATAGTCCCCATCGCTCTCTCCAATGAGATACCAGAAGCAGTGAGGGGTTAGGAATGGAGACAGGCTATGCGATGGCATGGTCAGAAATATCTATGGAGGAAGACAAATCCGGGACTCACTGTATGACCATGAATGACATTGTTGATCTCCACTGTCCGTAGCTCCATTCCCGGTGCCATCAAGCTCTCCACGGCATGAGCTGACACTCCGACATCCACAAAGATGACATTACGAAGGACTAAGTGCTGAATATGACGGGGGCATATGTATGGGAAGTGAATCCGAGGGTTGTTGACAACCAGACATTGGACTCCTTGAATGATAAGGGTTTCCAAATGGGGGAGGAGTCTCATGAAGAATGCGGTGTTATTCATCATGGAATAATTGGTGAGGGAAAATGATACGGCCCTTTGACCAACGAACCACATCCATATGAATATAGCCATCACTAGTTCCTCGTCGAAGCAGGCAACTGAGAACTTCGAGGGGGATGGTGTCTTTTTTGACTGCCAATTGGGGGGTAAAGAGAGCTTTAGACGCCTATGGGTGTGACGACTGGTGACAATTCTGGAACTTCTATCAACAACTCGAAGCGACAGTCGTGTTTGTGGATCACAGAGCAAGCAGACTTCTTTCAGGATTTCCAATGGGAGAGCTTGATAGCCAGAGGGTGCTGTTGGGATCACCATTGAAGATAGGGTTGAAGTTGTAGCAGATGTCGGCGTAGCAGATATCGATATGCTTGCCAGGGCCACCGGTGAGAAACCACTGACAGCCAAAGGCAGCGCAAATATTTTACTGTATAACTGACTTCCGCTGGTTTCAGCGACCTTGATTACTGCATCCTGATAATGATAATAGACATGGTAACCTGCCAGATGTCCGATGTCAGCACACTCCCTGTGGAAGAGCTTTCAGTTGACGAACCTTCTACCCAAGACTTCACCAACTCTGTAACACTCATTCCGTTTTCATACATGAGAACCAACTTTGGCATGAATAGGGAGTCCCAGTCCTGTCGAAATCCGTCAATGGCACGATCAATTGAGATAACACTCGCGCTCACCTCTCCATCATGAACCAGTACAACTAGATCCAATTCTGGTAACTCCAGGATTCCCTGAAGGGCGCCGAGCCTCAGACATGGCAAAACGACTGAAATCAAGCACTCACTGGTAGACCGGGCTTATCGAGAAGCGCAAATACCTGTATGGGAGGAGGGTCCATAGAATCGCAAGAAGATGAATCTAGAGACCACCTTTGAAAACAACCCTGCCATTTATATGAAAGTAACAAGCAAATTACGGGATTTATCCTTTGAAACCGAGGTCCGAATCAAGGTCCTTGCGGGGCTAAAACGGAGTTGATGAAATAAGCTTGGTTCAATGTTTGAGACCTCCGCGCGGAGATTACCTCAAAGAAAAATTTCCATGCAAACTGACTAAAATATGAACATCTTCGATTGAGGTGCACCTAATATCTACCTTAAATTGACACCTAGATCAAGAATTACTGTGATACCCAGACCACTACCAAGAAAGGGAGAATTTCTCTGCTGTACTGCCATCCCATACATTTACGCGCTAGAATTTTTCACGGAACATTGGTGCCCTCCACTACAGTGGATGACGAGATAGTAGGCCTTGCAATATGTGCACCTAGTCAGGTTTTTCAGGAGTAATTCTAAAGTTACACCTTCCGGAGAGAGGAGAGCATCCTTGTTTCTCTCCAATGTGGCCTCAGGGATTTTGCTGTGGCTGCAGCGTGCACGGGAACACACCGTTGGAACCACTACAGAAACAGATGAGCGACATGTAAAACGGTAGCAGTAGGAGTGGTATAAATACCAATGACATTAGCCTCCTCTTGTTTTTCATTGTCCGACTCTGAGTTGTCAGAGATCTCGATGACTTCAGTCGACGTCTGGTTAGCCACTGTAAAAAGGGAAACATGAGGAACATCTATCCACCCAGGCTGAAAGAGCATACCAGTCAGACTCTCCACATTGTCAAGTTCGTCAACCTCCATATTGTCAAGATCTCCCTCTGAGGAGCCATCCGTTATTTCGATCACCTCCCGTGACGGGCTTTTGAGTCCTGAAAAGATAGACCTCTTGAGACAGCATGCCGTGTTATCTATATTTTCAGGACGTACTGGGAGTAGGTACTCACTTGTTTTCATCACTGGACTCATCAGTAAGCTCGATGACATCTGCATTTGGCATCGGCGACACTGGGGTTGGGGATTCATTGGATGGTCCTTCCCCCTTCAAGCGCAGGCGTGGTGCAGTAAGACGGTACGACTTTTTTGCCCGATTCTCGCTGGACGTCTTGTCTTAGTCTAAATTGAAGAAATGGTCATCGGAAACTGCGGCAGACACTGTGAGAATGAATGTGGATGTGGATAGAGACACACACCATCTAAAATACCATCACCAGGAGTCTGCTTTCCTGGAGTACCACCTTCGAAGTTTAAACTTGGCGAAGCCAGATCCACGGGAAAAGATGCTGGCCTCAGCTGGTACTTTTTTTTCGAAGACACTGAAAAAACAAGGACTCTTGAGCACCCGAACTCATGACCAAGTATCTGACTCACCCGTCTTTTTATACATGGGACTGGAGTCGTTAGGCGTGCGGCCTTTTTCCAAGGCTCCTGAAGCTCGAAACTTTTTAGAGATACCTGCAACCTCATCAGTGAGTTATCGTAACTTTCAGATACACATAAGACTCATACCTGAAAGCAGTGGAGAGGATGCAGGACGCTTGCTATTGACTGTGAAGGCCACATCAAGAGCACGAACGAGAGGGGACTGTGCACTGTCTGACCCAATGGCGCAAACAGAATGCAATGGACTGATCGTACTCTCAGTCAAGGATGGCAGAGAGGGTAGGGAGCCATCAAGGTTTGTCAAACCTGTAGACGTAGACCGAACAGGAATGACAGAGCGGGAACCCGAGGACCGACGCGGTGTTGACTTAGGCATCGACTTAGGCGTTGACTTCGGGATAACGACAATTTTCGCTTAAGAAGAATTAGAAAAAACTCCAGGGTGGAGGGGAAGCTGCAGCGAACTCACGCAGGTCCTTGGTTCTGAATCCAACAAACTCGTCCTCTTCAAGGCAAGGCTGTACATCAGTTGGTCCTTGGTTATTTGCAAACAAGTGCATGACAGGTTCTGGGCAGGAAATCAGCGGTGATAATTCATCATAGAAATGGTGACTTACGCCACCAACAACATCCATTATTGCCTTTGGCACAAAAGAAAGCCAGTTCACCACGATTTTCCACTCGTTGGCATGTCATCGACATTTTCCATAGTATCGTAGGAGTATACACTTCCCATTGTCCACTGAGAGGTCCACAGATGCAGGATGGTGTCTTCAGACCCTTGGTAGCCGCCTTAGCCTGAATGCACTATGTCAGTGTTCGCTCAATAGTACGGTCAGGAGAGAAGTCTCACGAAAAAATCCACTAGGCATTCATACGGTAAATATTGAATGCAGTGCTCCGAGGGTATAAATGTACCAGGACTTCAAACGAGGGGTGAGGTGGATGTTATTTAGGAAGAAGGAGCGGGCTCACTAGGCGTATGCTGTCATATGTTACCAGACGATGAAAAGCCCGACTGTTAATAATCAGTGTCCGCGACAGATCAATCTGCAGGATGTCTGGGGGCATGATAAGCAAGGGAATTGGCAGGGCCCAGTTTAGATCTTTGGAGAGCGGGTCCAAGTTGTAAGGATCAAGATTGGCTGCAAAGGTTTCTGCACAGTAGTTTTCGAAAATGGGAGGCCAAACAGGCTCCTCAGAGGCAGAATTCATTAAGGAGGAGGAGGAAGCTGCAGGCAGGGTGGTGGTAGGCGAACTAATGACTTGGGGGAGAGCCTGAGGGGCTGCTGCCACCTTTAAATCAAGGAGACGCTGGGAACGATGAAGTACCATGTGAATCTATGATGAAGAGAGACCTACTTATAGGTCTTGCGAATAACTCTGAACACGACCTTTTTCTTTGAGATGAGATATCTCCGGAAATGAAAGGGATCCGACCGCTAACTATAGGAATGACCTCCAAAATTTCTGCTCAGCATTAAGTGATGCGACTTCCAGGTGACTGAAACCTAATACGTCAATCAATCATGGTCGAAGAACTCAGATTGTGCTTTGTAGAAAAGAAGGGCGCTTTTTTTTTTTTGTGGTAAAGATGTTCTAGTGGGTCGATGCTGACCTGCAGTTTGTCAGACGGATCAAATTCAATTCATGAAGGAGAGAGACTAACGGTAATTTGGACGGGCTTAGCATTCATATTTTCTCGCAAGGTCGCCGTGACCACTTCCTACTGGCAACGAGGATATTCGTACATGTTTCAGGAACAGGCAGCCAATCGAAGGAGGCGGATCTCTTCTTAGCATGGAATCTCGCCAAGTCCTATTCATGAAGTTAGTAGCCGCTGCAAAGTTCTCAGATTGAATGAACCTCGTCGAAGAAAGAATACCCCTTGACTATATGACTTCTACTCGAATTAGTAGCTCCCTGCATAACCCTGCTACCTCGCTAACAGCAATATCATACGGGAGGGAATATCCTTGAAACAAACACAGAGGCAATGATGTCCATGATCTGATTATACGCGGTTATTGATTGTTATTCAGATCGGGATGCGGTCCAGTCTCTGCGTAATACCATGCCTGCCGTATTCTGAATCAGGAGAGATATACTCCTCACAGCAATACCAATGTTACCCAGGAGCAACCTGTAAACATAGAGGAGTCCACCCCCGTGTCTTTCATAAATGGAATAAACGGTTTCTCCAAGGAGTAGGATTGACGACTCTGGAGTTGGATCTGTATTTGGCGCAGTGTGGAGGATGCAAGTTCTGGTATAAGTCCATGGACTGTGGCACCAAGCATGAGTGTTCCAAGGATTTGGGCGAGAGGGTTGATATCAGCTCTGTACCGGCTCTAGTGGTGAATGATGGGGTGGGGAAGGATGGAATGGGCCCGCCATTACAAGTGTCTTTTACACCCAGGATGCCATGGAATAGCAGCTCGCCAACATTCCGACAATCGCTCTGCGAGCCCAGTGGATGCTGCTATCACACATTCCTACCTTCGCATATCTTCGAGATTCTGCAAGACCTTCTCAACTCGGGTCATGGCCTTACCATGGAACAGTTGGATCAGCTTCTGGCCCAGTGTTGTTACGGTTTATCCTTTTCTTTTCCTTTTTCTTTTCTTTTCTTTTCTTTTTCTTTCCTTACGCATTCTCGCTTACTCTATACTGCGGTTCTGATCGGACTTTCTCACCGTGCTATTTTTACTTTACTCAACATGTATTTAAGTAGAGCCTAAGCTGGGCTAAACCCCAGCTTCGGCTAAGGTTTAATCTACCTAACATCGAACTCCGTGTTTCGCGACTATCTAAGTTCGCTCCTGACTCTGTTCACATCGCCTTTGACCTCCGAGTGTATCGCCTACCGAAGTGCGAGTAGCGATCCTTGGTTGATCTAAGTCGATTAGAGTTAGTGGCTAACATTTAGCCGAAGCTCGCCCTACGTTGCCCAGCGCCACGTCCGAGAACGAACGCTGCTCAACCTTTTACAAAGAACTTTCCAAAATTCATCCGATACACTTCTTGATCGCCGTAGCCCTTTGGGTTACTCCCTTCGACCTACTGCTCCAAGCCGCTGTAATCGCCTGGGTTTTACCCCATATTATCAACGACCCTATCTTTGCAGTTTTAGTAACTGTGTTCCTTACCCTTGCCCTTATTCGAGTTTGTATCGCCGCACCGCTCTTAGCAGGACTGCTAGTAGCACTGTACGGTGGATACTTTCCCCTTGTCTAAAGGCACCACGAAACCTTTCAATCTATTTCTCAAGTCAGCATCACTGCTCGCAGTCATATTGCTTACATTGACTGACCCATCCTTCGACGATGATACCTCGTTGATGACCGGCCCCGTTTACGAGACCGACCTCAACCTGATTATCGCGACCCTCGCCGCCCTCACAATTCTCGCCCTATCCGTCGTATGGTCCATCCTCACCGCCGGCTATCTCAGAAAATAAGCCCACGGGTAGATGCCCTTATCCGACGCCATTCCCGTAATCTCCGCGCTTTCTACCGTCTTTTTCTTGTTCATCTGCTTGTATTACCTTCAGCAGTGCTGCCGCCAACAGAGGCGCGTACGAGCCCAGCTCCCCTTTCACTACATCCCGGCGACCCCGGCATACCCGCCGCCGGTAATTTTCATTCCCGCAGCATCTCAACAAACTCTTCATGATGGCCGACCCATCACACCCAGAGGACCTGGAGAGTCCCTCTACGCATCGTCGCGGTCCAACTTGGGATCCTCAGAGTCGAGCACAGACTCCTACAGAAGCGCCACCGAGTCCGACGCTTCCATCGATATCACAGATACCAGGGGGGTACTCCTCGACAGAGGAGACTCGCCCCTACCAGGTCTCTTCGACCAGTCTCCAGTCCAAGGCGAGTCAAGCACAGATGGAGCCCGAAGACAAGGCACCGGGCATCTGGTCGAGAGCGAAGAAGGCTCTGACACCGAGTTCGAAGGCGACAAACTCACCGAGCTCGAAAGGATCCGACTCGAAGACCTCCTCGGCGACTTCTACCCGCACGAGGAGGAGGATGCAACCTATACCAGAGACAACTGGAGCGGACGCTCCCAAAACCGGTGGAGCGATGCAGAGTGGGGAGCAGAGCGGAGAAGGTACGACAAAGGAAAGGCCAGAGACGATTTCGACGAGGATTCCGGAGAGCTTGGCCTCGGAGCCTCCGCGGCTACCACCCGTGCAACTGACCCACAGCCTGTTTCAGGCTCCTGGCCAGCCGATAGGGGAGAGCCCGTTGCCTGGTACCCCCGCTCCAGTTGGGTCTACGCCGACAACAGGGAAAAAGCTACTGTGGCCAGGGACGACCCCGAGCCAGAGCCCGACCAGGCCGTTACAAGGACCGCGCCCCCAGCACCCGCTCCCGCCGTCCCCACGCACGAGCCGACGGATAGAGAGCTTTGGGGCGAGTTCCCAGAGTACGACCCCGAGGAACTTGGAACAGTTACCGTTTCCGAGCGCCTCGCCGGAGTCTCCAACTGGGAAACGAGCGTCCCAGCGCGAGCCTTCGCCGACCCCGTCCCTCTATCCCAGCGTCCGTGGCCTCTCTTATATCACACGTACGTCGAGTCCCTCCGACTCTCTCGAGATGCCCGGCAGTCCCCAGAAATCGAGGCCCGAATGGACCAAGGAAGAGCGCATGACGCACGCATCTGCCGAGCCGAGGAAGATGCCCTCCAAGGACCCGACGGATGGTGGGACCTACCCCTCGAACCTGACACCACCCCGACCGAGGTCGGAAATAGAATACGAGCAGCCGCCGTCCGATATACCGGGGCGGCACGAAGAGCAGGAGCCGATTTGGAAGCCAGAGGGAGAGCTTGGGCCGCTTACGAGGCCGAGCTCACCGACTACGACTCCAACATCGAAAGACAAAGAAGAAATCTCGAGCTTGACCGCCTCGCCCGAGAGAGGAAGGAGGCCGAGGATGCCCAGTCGACCCCCAAACAGGGCCCTGGAACCGACGGTAATGGCAGCGGTAAGGCAGGTCCTTCTTCAAGGCCCAACGCCTAGGCCGAGCATTTTCGACCTCTTACCGTGGCACGGCCTCTACGAGATCATGATGGAAGACATGGAAAGAGACCCGCAATGGCTCTTCTCCGAAGCAGGGGAGGATTACCGCCATGCTAAGCGGATGGGGGATGTCTACCTCATGAAGAACATCCTCGAGGTCGAGACCTGGCACCGGGCGGCCATCGTGTGGAACCTCATGAACCCTGAGGTACCTCAACAGGGGTGCGAGCCGTACAGGTGGCCCCAGCCAATGCCGAATCCTCTAGAGGCAGAAACGTTTTTTGGAAAAGACTTCTTCGCCGGAGCAGGGGAGGACGACGATGATTACGCTGACGAAGGGGCAGGAACCTCTCATCCTGATAAGGGTAAGGGGTCCATGGTGCCCCCGGTCCCGCCTTCTGGGCCGCCCAAGCCACCCCCGAACTTTGGGGGTTATCCTCCACCCAGGGACAATCGAGACTTACGGTCGCTCTCTTGGCCCCCGAAACCGCCAGTACCTCCCCACGTACCATCACCACCGGATCCCATACCCCCGTGGCAATTAGCCCCGGGGGCAGTAAACAACCCATGGAACGACGTAAAACCTAAGCTGATCACTCAGCCCGAGTACTTCACCAGGGTATCCTCGGATATCACCCGCTTCCTCCATCACTGTGAAGTATACTTCCAGGTCTTCCCAATGTACTACACAATGAACGACGAGGGGCAGAACCCCTATCGCATCATGTTTGCGCAAGGGTACCTACGCGGAGAAGCGCAGCAGTGGTGGGTCGACCAGTACTACCGCTACCGAGATGTAAATGGGCACTGGAGATTCCCCACATGGGCGGAATTCTCCCATGATCTCACCGTCCAGTTCCGAGAGGTAGCGGAGTTGACCATTTGGAAGGCCGAGTGGAAGAAGGTCCGACAGTCGGACTTCAAGTCAGCTGTCAAGCTCTTCGCGAAATTCGAGCGATTGGCCCACAAGTGCGAGGAGTTCGGCGATGAAAAGCAAATGTTTGAGGCAGTAGAAGCCGCAATACGACCAACAGTGCGAAATACGGTTATGCATGGGGACAACGAGCGCCCCACAACCTATGCAGAGTGGAAGGCGCGCGTCTTGAGGATAGATGCCAATTATCGATACGGAGTTGCCCAGGGGTTGGGCAGTAAGTCCTCCCAGAACAGCGGTTCTGGTCGAGGCAATCAATCATCACAGAAGGCGGGGGGTTCTGGGTCATCAGGCGACAAGAAGGACGCCACGGGGACGACCTATGGGGGAGCCGGTCAGCTGATGGAGATTGATAAGCTGAGAAGC